TAGGCAGCAGATTTAAAATAGTCAAAAGGAAGTATTTTTTCACACAGCGCACAGTCAACCTGTGGAACTCCTTGCCAGAGGATGTTGTGAAGGCCAAAAGTATAACAGGGTTCAAAAAAGAACTAGATAAATTCATGGAGGATAGGTCCATCAATGGCTATTAGCTGAGATGGACAGGGATGGTGTCCCTAGCCGCTGTTTGCCAGAAGCTGGGAATGGGTGAAAGGCGATGGATCACTTGATGATTACCTGTTCTGTTCATTCGCTCTGGGGCACCTGGCATTGACCACTGTCGGAAGACAGGATACTAGGCTAGATGGACCTTTGTCTGTCCCAGTATGGCCCTTCTTATGTTCTTATAAGAAATGGGTTTAGGGGAGGGGCTGTGAGAGAGGGTTCTTGGCAGAGAAGTGCAGGGAGACTGTTCCAGACCTGGACAGAAGGAAGGAATGAAGCACAGAGTGGGAGGAGATGAAGGGAGGCTTTTTGAGTATAGGCAGCTCACAAAGATGCCAATTAGTGCTGATTTTGGTTGTCTGTTGGGAGTGTGCATTTGGAATTAGGCTAAAACAAACATAATTTTATTTTTGAAAACGCAAATATAAAGAAACTGTACCAACCAAAACAGATGTCAAAGAGGTAATGTAGCCAGTCAATAAAACATCCACATCAAAACATCAGGGATGAATGGGAAAGGAGTGTCCAGTAGTTAGGGCACTTGCCTGCCACTTGGGAGACACTGAGTCAATTCACTGATCTGCCACAGATTTTCTGTATGATCTTGGACAAGTCACTTGGCCTCTCTGTGCCTCCATTTCCCAACTGTAAAACAGGGATAATAGTACTGCCACCTCACAGGGGTGTTATGAGGATGAAGACATTAGACTGTGAGGTACTCAGACACTAATGTGATGGGGACAGTATAAATACCATAGATATTCAGAAGTACTGCCTCTTTCCCTCAATGGCCACTTCGTGTTCTCAAGAGTTATTTCTGCAGTGGCCTGTTGTGCTACTCAGGTGACTGCCAGCTTGAGCCTGTACTTGGGAATCTTGGTGTGTGGCTTGGGTTTTTTAATTCAGTTTCTGGGTGCGAGTGTGCCACTTTCTTCTGCACAGGACACTTTCAGTATGGTTCTGGAACATGTTTTTTTCCACAATATGAAATATTCTTAGTATTCTAATCTACCAATACTAACTATGTCTGTCACCTTGGTATCCATAGCCGTTTCTAAGCAACCACAAGAGTTTTATTTTTTCTCCAATTCATATGGAAGAAATAATTTGTTCATGCATGAACCAAAATCAGTCTGAGCACCACCCTGGGAGACTGGAATTGTAAACTATAATTTAGGCTAATTCTAGCTTAAAACATGAATTACAGTATTTTATATAACCTGAAAAAAAAACCTACTGTATAAAGATGTGTAAGCACTAAACAGACACAATTAACATTAATAGTGCAGAAAACTTTGAAACTGGGAATGTGAGTAACTCAAGTTGTAACATATTTTTGACATGCAAAAGTGTTTCCCATGTGTCTTGTTTGCATATGAACAAGATTTTAGCAAGTGCATATTTGCATGTCAAAGTTGAAAATGAGAGATAAGATGCCATATTTTCACCTTATAAGAAAAACATGTAGCTTATGTACAGGCAGTTTGCATTCACTAGCCATAAAGTAGCTGTGACCTTTAATAATTTTACAGAAGGTATATGAACTTTTTACAGGGTTCTGTTTTAATATTGATTTGCAAAAGCAACCACTTAAAGCAGTAATTGAGCTTATGTCTTTCCCTGCGTTAATTTTAATACAATTATTGGTTGTGGCAATCCCAAGCAATTTATGCTTCAGAGCTTTCTTCTACTGAATTGTAGCTCAAAAGTTAAAAGTAAAGGTTAAGTATTAAATGTTGTGTGATAATTGAAACTAAGTGTACTAAAGATAATCTACTCTAAAAACATATCTAATTTGGTGCCACTACCCTTATCCATAATGATCAGTAAATGCTTCCGTGCCCAGGGTCTAACTATTTCCCTTCTTGTGTTTTATGTAAATTCCATTTCATTATCGCAGTAGGACATTCCAGACAATGCATTTTAGGCTAATTATTGCCCTTTTTAGACTATTCATCTCTTAGCCTTAGGCTAGTATTGTGAAGGCATGTTACATTTCTCCAGAAACAAATTGCAAATGTCCTCTTGCTTAACAATTTGTAAAGAAATAGCTATTGCATGCTTAAACTTCAGATGAGACTTTATGCATTAGTGATAACATACAAACAGCCTATTACATCAGTTTCTACAAGTAACAACACAGCAATAACATATACAGAAGTGGAGTATTAAATATATATTGAGGTTTATCTGTCCAGTTGAGTCTTATCTATTGACTGGCAACAGGAGTTCGAATAGGATGTTAACTCACAACAGCAGGGAAGAAAGTGGGTCTTACGTTTCAGGTACAGAAGTGGGAGCTGGATGATTTATTCCTGAAGTTGTCTTAGAATTTTTGTGTTGTTATTAGGCCAGTTATTTAATATCTGTGCCTCAGTTTCCTGTGTGTAAAATAAGCATAATGCTATGTCACCTGTTGTGAGGTGCTTCCGTCATGAACGTTTGTGAGGTGCTCAGATGCTGTAGTAATTACTAATGCATATAATACATTAATAAAATAATATAAATTAACACTTGGTAGCTTCCTCCCCTGTTGTTTTCAGTGTGTGAGCGGAACAGCAAAGTGAAATAAAGACGCTTGTATGGAGGGTACAAGCAAGCCTGCAGAGCTTTCAGAGGTCCTGTCTCCTTAAGAATCCTAACATGACTTTCATTTCAGCCTGTCATTATAACTGCTCCAGGAAAATTGTGGGATTAAATGTCTGGAAGTAGGAGGTGCCCAGGATAGAATCAGTTGCACGCAGTGCCCCACTGTGTGAAAATGTTTGAGAACCACTGGTACAGAAATGTCAGTAAAGAAGCTGTGTAGTTGCATAGCTGCTGGTGCTGCTTTCTGAGCTTAGCATAGTAGCTAGTGTTCAAATCATGGGAGCAAGTCACTATTCCTCAGTAGTTGCTTCGTTCACTGCATTTTATATGGATTGGGGAATATTCTAATTTGCCAGATGCCTGTAATAAATTTAAGACATGTTCATTTAATGTTTTCTGGTCCTTAAAATAACATGCCTGACCCTAAACTGTGAGGCTCCCTATTGCATGCAAGTGGATCAGAGAAAAAAATTGACATTGCTTGCTTAACAACTATTCATTTCACACTATTGATGTTCAAAGTGCTTAACAGTATATAGAACAATACACAATCTCTAATCAGAAAAGCAGACACATTTACCATATGAACCCATGCTGAGAAAAAAGGCTAAGGTACCCCCAAACATATTGTGATGTAATGTACTTTGAGGTTTACTGTTGGACAGCTATAAATTCAACAAAGTTAATATAAAGTCTCTCAGAGGTAATCAGGCAATGTGTTAATGGATTTTAAACTCCTCATTGGAGATTAACTGCTCTTCTGATAGCAAATTATGGTAAGAAACCTCATTGTATCTTGGAAAAACTCCATTGGAAATTGTGAGAAATTTATGGATGGAGCAGCCAAGTTTAATTGATGAAGCCTGATCCCACAACATTGCACAAACCAGTCTCAGAATTTTGGGAGACAAAGCATACAAGGCAACAGCGCTCAGGTACACACTCTTTTATAAAAAATGCATGCTTGCACACACACACAAAGTAAATTGGACTTCTGAACTGTGAAACACTACCGATACTTGGTGAAAAGTCCTGCCTGAAAGAGACTTAGGCTTGGTCTACACTTACCCCCCAAGTCGAAGTAAGGTACGCAAATTCAGCTACGTGAATAACGTAGCTGAATTCGACATACCTTACTTCGAACTTACAGCGGTTCAGACACGGTCCACACGCGGCAGGCAGGCTCCCCGTCGTCTCCGCGGTACTCCTCTCGTTGAGCTGGAGTACCGCAGTCGACGGCGAGCACTTCCTGGTTCAATTTATCGCGTCCAGACCAGACGCGATAAATCGAACCAGGAAGTTCGATTTCCAGCCGCCGAACTAGCGGCTAAGTATAGACCAGCCCTTTGTTAGTAATAGAACCTTTCGAAGGATGCAAACCACATACACTGGTGGAGTTTGAGGATGTATTCCGAGGTACTTACACAGAACAGACTCCCTGGTAATGTGTGTTACTTGCCCGGGTGGGCACCTTATGAACTTTGAGATATGCTGAAAGAGCTTCATAGCATGATAAACTTAATTCTAATTGCTGTTCAGTAAAGAAGCATTGCTTTCATAGAGTTCATCTGTGGTCCTTTCTCAAGAAAGGGAGAGAAATACAAAGACAGAAGAGAAGATATACTCCAGTGCACCTAGAGTACTGCCATATTTTCCTCCCTTCTTCAGTCTCAGGGTGTTAATACACAAATTATTAATAATAAACATTCAATCTAAATTTTTTGTGAAGTTGAGATCCTTCATTTAAAATGCTACCAGTATTTCCCATATTTATCTGTGTATAAACTGGTCAATAGTGTAGGCTAGATGGCCGTGACACTTGTGTGTAAAGTGTTACATTCATATCATGGATTTTCAGCCAGGACAAGCTTTATACCTTTTGTAACAATTCTGAGGAAAGGAGATTTGAGGAAACCTTTTAGTATTTAGTTCTTCAGCCAAAATGTGAACTCCCCAGTTCTTTTTGGCTTTGAAATGCTGATCCTAGCCTTCTTGTGGGTTCTTAAACACCTTCTCAAATGACCCATTTTAATAACCTGAAAGCTATTATATAACGAGCAGCCATAATTTAGTCCAAGGCTCTAGGGGGACCCTCACAGTTCAGCAATGAATAGTTAATGCAGTATAATGTTTAGTAGGTTATTAGTTTTCACTGTACAAATGCTGATCAGGGAACGCTTTTATAAGGTGTTTAAAAGAAAATGTAATTAACTGGTTGCGTGCTTCTGTTGCAGCTCAAATTGAAATTATTCCATGCAAGATCTGTGGAGACAAATCATCAGGAATCCATTATGGTGTCATTACATGTGAAGGCTGCAAGGTAAGCTTTGGGAAAAAAATTAAGTCTTAAAACATCTGTGTTTATCCATTTGAGTTTGAGTCTTTCATTTTATAAATATCAAATTTTGTTTTGCTGTGAAGTTGATTATGTTCGATTGATAAAACTAGTAAAAAAATGGGGAACAAGTTTTAAAATACAGTTTAAGCATAAGCTTTGGCTCCTAGGTGATTTTTTTCTAAGCCCTTGGGAGAGCTTCCAAAATCACATGACTTCCTGTTGTGCTATGGATGTGATAGGTTCCTTTATTATCAAACTGAAACTGAATGAATAGAAGAGGAGTAGAAAGATGAGTCCTTTCCAGCAGGCCACAATGAATCTGTTTTATGGATTCACTTGGATAGAATTTGTGGTTTTCTTGATTTTTGGATTTTTTTGGTAAGTTGCAAAGAAACCGAGTCAAAGGGTGTTAGTTGAGATCTCAGGCTTTTAAGTTTCCATTTGTAAATGTGTGTTTGTAATTTACTGGACTGACTTATACGTATATTTTATCCCGCATAGAAAACAGCATGAGATGAAAAAATTGTATGGGGTGTAGTTTTTGTATTAAAGATATAAAAACCTTCCTGCTGGCAAAAATTTTTTTTCACTGTGGTGCAATTCATTGCCGTGTGAGGTTTAGGCTTGGATTTTTTTTTTCTCCTGAAGTTGAATCTTCAATAACTCCACTAAAATAAAATTTCAGTAGCAGTGTTAACCCTCTGTTCGGTGTCAATTTCTTTCAACAAAGATTAAATTCATTCAGCATTAATGTTGACACCTGTCTGGCTGTACTGCAAATACACACACACACACGTGCGCGCGCGCGACCTGGTCCTGACACATTGCGTACATCCCCGCTGCAGGCTTGCTTTGCAGGCATCATTCTCTCACGCGAGTACCTTCTTCTGTCACTCGAGTACTTATGGGTTTTCAACCTTTAACCCACATTTCAAAGGATAAGAGATTACTATTGCCATTTCTTTCCGAAGCTGCTTGCCTGCTTCCCTTGCTGGGCACATGTAACTGCAACTACCTTCAGAGATTAGGCTCCTGTCTTTGTGCTAGACAGAGATTCATCCTGGGCTCTTCCAGACAGGATTTTAGCTTTTTTGCTCTGACTAACTCTTCCGTCTAGCAGCAGCGCTGGTAAGGAGAGATTTCTGGAAGGGGATCATAATGGAAGCTCGGTATTTCCCAAGTTCAGTGCTTCCTCGGTGATGGGCTCTGCTAAATATCTTCATCCATTTTATCCTGATGAAGCTTCTGTCCACCACTGAGCAGCTTCAGGATTCAAGGGCCAGCTTCATAAGAGAGAAGGGAAGGGTCGCATACCTTGGCCAAGACTGCTGCTTTGACAGGCTCACTTTGTCCTAGATATATGATATTGGGGAAGGCCAAAGCCATGATGCCTGAATACTGCCTTACTGTGTCACAGTTATCGTTGCCCCTCTTCATCACTTACCTTAGGAATCAGCCAGTCATTTTCAGCCAAAGGGCAACTCTGATGTGCAGTGTGAAAAACCAGGTGGTTGCTCTACTCTATTCAAATCATACTCTTTATTTTTGATAGGGACAGCCATGCACACCAGCAGCCCTGAGCAAGTAACTTTGTGTTTCATATCTTCATCTTAGTGCTCCTCCCCATCCCATCATCCAGACCTAGAAATTTAGAGCATCAGTTAGCTTGGTTCATTCTAATTTCTTTACACAGCTTACATTCAGCTTGCCACCCAGTCTCCAGCCACATCTCTCAAAGTCTAAGGTCTTGCAGGAGTTCAGAGAGAAATTCTAAAAGAAAGTCAATGTGCTTCACATTATTACGGACAGTCTGCAGTATTCCTAGGTTCTCAGCCAGATATCGCTGCTCTGCAGTTCTAACTTGAGATAGGGACAGGAAGAGGACAAGAGATTCCTCCCATCTCCAAAATATCAAACCCAAAAAGGGAACAAACACTAGAAAGAGCCATAATGAGTTTAATCTCTTGGGGGATGTGTTAATCACTCCAAGCATTCATCCAGGTCATCAGCTGAAGAGGGTCCATTTCTATGTTCATCCTTTAATCTGGTCTCCTTTTCCTGTACGAAGAGTTGAGGCTCATAAATTTTATTGACTACACCCTAACAAGCATAAACCCTGACCCTCAGCTCCCTCTAGCCCAAGACCCTCTATACGTGAGCATAGGAAGAAGGGGAAAGCCATTTTCCTAATGCCTGAATCTCTGTTGGAGATTCTGGATACCAGTGGATTCCAGGACATAGAAGAAAAGATCCCATCAACAGGGCTGTAGAGGAACCATACTAATAGGTTCAACCGGACAAATCTTTCAAACTGTCCTTGGACCACAATGTCTGCTTCATTTCTTTAGATAATCCAAAATCTGTGTCATCACAGGAATATCAGCAGACTAAAGATACTATTCTTGACATGGCTTCCCCTCCATACTGCGAAGTTCTATTGGCTCATGATCACTACCCACTTGGAAGATTGGCGAATGTTTTCTTCTCCCAGGTTGGTACTGCTTCAGACAAATGGGCTTTCTAAGAGAGCAGGGACCAGGCATAGAATCCCAAAATGCTCCATCTCTTACCCTCTTGTCTTTTCTCCCTCCTCAGGACACCAGTAATTGGCAAGTAGTGCTGGACAGTTCCATGGAACATGTCATCACCCTCGGGTTCATTATTCCATTTTCAGTGAAAAAGCAGGGTTTTTTTTGTTTGTTTGTTTGTTTGTTTGTTTTGGAGGGAGGGTGGAGACTAAAAAAAAAAACAGTAAGCTTAGCCCAGTATTTGTCCTGTCCAGATGGAGTACAGCAGTAGTCAAAGTTTTTTTTCCTGAATGAAGACACTGGCTATTCTAATGCAAGAGAAAACCCCTTCATGTGATCAATCAACCTCACGAAGGTCTGTCTCTGTACTCTGGTGTACCTATGTCCCCAGTGCTACCTGAGAGATGAAGTCAAGAAAGCCACAACCAATTATAGTCATTGTACATCTCAAGTTGTCCCAAGGTGCGTGGTTATCCTGACATCCACTTTGAGACCAGTACCTCTATGGTTTCTTATCAAAGTCTTATTCATGTGAAGAAGCAGCACTTTGACACTCTATCTTGGTTTTCCATAGAATATCAAGTCAAGCACAAGGGCTGTGTCCTTATTTTCAAGGCTGTCAATGGTCTGAGCACAGGATATCTAAAAGATCACCTAAAGCTCCAGGACAAAGATTATGGTCAACCACTCCACTCCTCTGGCTCAATGGAACTTTCTGCTGTAAGGGTAAAGCTAGTGTTCAGGAGACAGAGCTTCCTTGGGAGCTGGTTGCAGACTTGGGAACAAATTCCCACAGGAACTAAGGATGATCACAAACCTCATCACCTTCCAAGTACAAGGTGCATTTCTTTGACCTGCTTTCTCTAACATAAACATGTAGCAGCGTGTATGTATGAAAAAAGAACCACACTGCACACACAATCCAATCTCCCATTGGGAAGAGGATGAAAGCAAACAAGCCACACATAATATAGTAGGCAGATTGCCTAATGCACTGTGGGAAGGTCCTCAGATTCTATGGTGAAGAAGATGGTATGAGAACCAATATAAAACAGAACTGTCCAGATCTTCAAGACTCACAATATTGTCAATGACCAGAATTGCTCCTCAGTCCAGTCTGAGAAGTTCATTCACCTAGGAGTTCTTGGGCAAACCTCCACAAGAGGAGCTTTTGGCGAAGCTGGCAGGTCTCACTTTACCAGTGCTTTCAGCTAGTAGGTGCATGGCCATCTGCATGGAGACAGTACTCTGGGCAATTCTGCTTCTCCTCCTCTGCAAGATCCCCTGATCAACCATTGGAACTCACCTGAGCAGACATAAGTTCATCCATTGAGAATCCCTCCATCAGAATGGCTTTTCCACCTTTAACTAACGTAAATCCCTCACTTATCAAAGGACAAGGAGGTCCCTGTCTGAACCTCCAACAATCAGAATAATGACAGATGCCAGCCTGACAGTGGGGAGTGTAAATGGAGTCCCATATGGGTCAGGCAAATGGTTTCCCCTGGTCTCCTATGCAGTGAAGAATGCAAAACTTAATCTGCCTTTGAGAATCCAACCAGGTCAGCTAAGCTAATGGCAGGAAAAGCAAAAGCAGCCCTCCCCCCCAATAAAACAAAGGCCCAAACAACAAAGTGAGGGATGTTCTCCTGTTCTTGGAGCATCAGGACCATAGGATAACTATGTACAGCCAGGACAATTAAGCCTACACGCACTTGAAGCAGGTGAATAATATCCCACTTACCTCATTCATGTCCTTCACTCATTCTTGGTTTTGGGGTTAAAATGAAATATCGTGTCTGCTAGGTATCTGACACTCTGCGTGTGTTCATATATTTCTCTTCTTAAAAAAGAATGGCACTCATGGAGTTCAAATCTTCCTAACCTTGGTGGGGATGACTGTGTTCAGAGTGTAAATGATCATGGCTTAAAAAGTGTTTAAAATCCTGTGCTGTGGCAGATGTAAAGGTAAAGAAGGATTTTGTTTGTGTTACACTCTTCCACAGTAGAAGCAACAAAGTCTCACTGAAGAGAGCTATTTCAGGTGGGGGACAACTTGGTGTATCTTGGCTTCTCTGAATGTGAAACAGTTAGGTACTATTTCCCCAAAGTGTGTATTCCAGCCTTTTTGTGGCTGTAATCACTGCAATTTTATATGTTCTTATACTACTCTTCACATAATTTAACCTTTGATTTTAAAAAATACCCTAAGTTTGAGTTGTTTCACACACTGCTTTGATGGTGCAGCTATTAAGGTAGTGGTCCCAGTCCTGCACTGTGATTCTCGGGTAGACTCTTGTACTAGTTCAAAATCCCAGTGAAGTCAATGAGGTTCCACATGGGTGCAAAAATCCATCCATGTGCATCAGATTGCAGAATCATGGCCCTAAATGATCATTACGTGAACAGAAGTGCTGCTACCCTCTCAAGCCAGTCTTGTGGGAAATGATCTCC